GGGGGGGGGTACCACAACAGGTTAGGGGGGCTCTAGGGCCGCAGAGACATAAGGAGAACCGGGGGGCAGTTTCACTAGTTCTAAATCATGCAGGGAGTGCCTTTTCAGCTGTAATTACGGTAATCCCCATGCTGACGTCCTCAGCTGATGGCGGTGATCGGAGCGGGTTCAGATCGAATGGCAGTTAGCGCTCTATTCCTTACATTCGCTCCCCCAGGAACCATGTGAACAGGAGCAGACTGTCAACCTGTGGTCAAACTGCAGGGGGTTGGGATGTGAAGCGGCCCGTAAGTGCCGTAAGTGTCTAACCCAACCAACACTGCCAGTACCCCAGATCGCACCGTGTCCTGTCCCTTCCCCGTCACTGGCAGGATGGGGCAGCCCGGTGGCACCCCAGATTTCACCCACCAGGTGAAAGGCTGTCTTTGGAGTGGATGCGGCGAGGGGGCCCCTCTGCAGGGGGCCAGCCGGCCCTCGGGGAGCCAGTGAGACCCACATCAGTCTGAGGAAGCAATTCCACATGCGGGGGTGTTCAGGGCAGTGGAAAAGTAGGGGTCTTTTCAGAGGGGCGCTCACTCTCCATCCTCACGCTATCTTTGATTCAGCGGCAAAGCATTTAACCCTCCCTATGCCCCCATTTCCCAGCCCTTATCGCACCCGCTAATCCCGCCCGGCCATGCATGGAGATCAGGCTGCCCACAGGGGTGTCTGTGCTCTTCTGGCAGCCCGGGGGGTTAAATTAAACCCTTCTTAGCCTATTTTCCCACGCTCAGAGGACAGTCATTCTGCAGGAAGACAAAGGAATGTGGTTTCGGCACGTCGGCCGACTGGCGCGGATCCGGCTCTATCAAACTCTCCTCGGGATCTGAGGAGCTCCGGTGGCTGGACGCCATGGTGGAATCCGAACCCTTTTGTCTGGTTCATTTTTCCACAGCATCAACAGGAAGGAGGGTTTTGCCAAGAGCGGAGATGCTGAGTGACGGCATTTAAACTGCGGGAGTGAAGGAATGAGAGAAATGCAGACACGCACACAGACACAGACAGACACACGCACACACAGACAGACAGACGCACACACAGACAGACAGACTCACACACAGACACAGGCAGACACGCACACAGACACAGAC